TTTTTTTTGTGTTTTCTTCTGTGTTTTGTTTTTGTTTCTGACGCGTCGGCCGGCGTAGGGGAAATAATACATAAGCCAGCTGTATCCAGCAGGATGCATACGTATCATTCATACACACATCACACATGGTCCGCACAGCTCAACAGCTGCACTGCATATCGATGGATGACTTGCAATGCTGTATAACCCAAAGCACCTTCTCTGCTGTTTGTTCTTCAGTTTATTGTTTTACGTGTATTAGGGCGCTTTCCCACTCCCAGGTGGCTGGGAGAGAAGCGAGGCGTAAGGCGCGGGCCACGGCGAGCCCTGCAGGAACACACAGCTCAAGCGAATACCAAAGCAGTAATAAGAAAGGAGAACACACAGGGGGTTCAAAGCAGTAGAGAACAAAGGAGGAGGTACGAGTACGTACGTGGATAACTAGGGGAGGGCTATATCAACGGCCAAACATCTCTCTCCCCCCCTCTATATATATATCCGTCTCTCTCTCTCGTGTTCTCGCTATCTTCTTTCCTTCATTTTCATTGGAGCTTCCACACCTCGGCATCTCTGCCCTTTGTTCTTGCCGCTGCACTGCCCCCACCCCCCACCCTTGCGGCTGCATTGTCTCTGCTTGACCACATCAGAGGCGGCGTGCAGCAGCAGACATGGCAGTGATCCCGAAGGCCGGCGAGGTGTTCCACGGCGATGATGGCACCGTCTCTGTCGTCCTCCCCGACGCGTGCGACCCAAACTGCGATCCGACACAAGAGGAGCTCGAGGAGTACGCGGAATGGCTCGGCATTGACGTGGAGAAGGAGCCGCAGCTGCTGTGGATCGCGTCCGAGGGGCTGCGCACTCCGCTGCCGACGGAGTGGAAGGCGTGCCGCACCGGCGACGGCGAGGTCTACTACTTCAACTTCCTCACCGGCGACAGCAGCTGGGATCACCCGCTGGACGATGTCTTCAAAAAGAAGGTCGAGGAGGAGCGCGCCAAGCCGAACGGCGGCAAAGGTGGTGATGGCAAATCCAAGAAAAACTCCAAGTCACCAGGCAGAGGAGCTACGGAGCCGCGGCGCCTCGAGAAGGGTGCCGCTGGCCACGTGGAGTCGCCTAAACAGCAGAGGAGGGGCGCCCAGGGCACTGCAACAGCAACGCACTCAACGATGCCCATCGGCACCACGACGGGGGCGCCCGCGCCGACGATGCGCTTCGG